TGATATACCAAATGAACTCCAAATGGACTAACTATATGCCAAATACTTTGTCTCCTAGAAACATTAAGAATAGAAGAGAATGCTTACTAAAGTTCTTGAACCCTGAGGCAATAAAGAAAAACTGTAAGGAATTTTTATGACCACATTAAAAAAAACATGTGACAAATACTTATAACAAATAGGAAAGGCAAAAAGCTAATAATATCTTTATGATATAAAGAGTTAACATCTGCTACAGGAATGAAGGGGAACTGAATGTAGAATTCATGAACAGATTCAAGTCAATTATGAGAATTTACTGCATGATAATGTCACATTTTAATATCTGTGGGATAAGAATAGAATATTCAGCATGTACAAAGTGGTTGGCCAAACATTAAGCCCAAGAAGTTAAGTTCTGCATCAAGCTGTAGATCAGAATACTTTCAACTGGACAAAATATTTCACTTGGAGTTCTAAACAGAATGATCTTGTGTGTAAGTGTGGACTTGGGAATTAGCCTGAGTCTGTCTCCCGCTTGTCTGCAAGCCACTGGCTGTGTGACCTTGGGCAGGGTAATTAACCACTTCCTGCCTCAGTTCCCTAAGATAGGGATGAAACACCGTCTACCTCACCTGTGTGTTGGGAGGATTAAATGAGTTAATACTTGTAATGGGTGTGGCCTGGTGCATGCAAATGCATTTTAAATGTTATCATCATCATCGTCAAAGAGGTAAAATATAACAGCATCACCGGGAAATATGATAGATATTTTAATGAGCTTGGGGGCGGAGGAAACACATAGTCATGAAATCATAAAAGATCAGGAGATTTGATATTTCAAACTTCACATGGGAATACTTGTGGACAGTGCATGAAGTATGTGGTCAGCAGCCTTAGCGGGGACGGGCTGTGAGGGTGCCGTTGTTCTGTGGCTGCCAGCACTGAAGCCAGGCCTGGCTGGGTGTCTGGGAAGGCTTATGTAAATGTTCTCCATGTTGTCTCCTTAGAGCTGCTTCATGAGTTTCCTTGTGCTACTGCAGCAACTTCCCACAAACCTGGTGTCTTAGGTAGAAGTTTGTTCTCTTGGTTTGACTTTGGAGTCCAGAATTCCAAAATCATGTTACTAAACGTTCTGGGGGTGGGGGAGCTTCCTGGACCTTCCTTCTCTTATACTGTTGAGGCTCCAAACTCAGCCATATCTGTACTTCCTTCACTGTATGTCTGAGTCCTCTCCTTTTACAAGGAAGAAATCAATGGGACGACCCCAGTCTCAGCTGCAGGATGTAGGGAGCACCGTAGTCCAATAGGACCTTACCTTAACTAACTATGCCTACAAAGACCCTATTTTCCAAGATCAGTCATATTCTGAGGCCCAAGGTGGACATGAATTTGGGGAAGCTGTTTTGCCACAATTTTATACTCCCTTTGATGGAGAAAATAGCTGTAGGCCTGACTGTGAGAGTGTGGTGTGCATCGAGGAAGTCTCAAGAACAGATCTAACACCTTACTGGGAGCTGGTGCGAGCAGCAGAGGTGCATGGTACCTGGAGGGGAAGCCAGAGAACCCTCAACTATCATGACCAGGGCTTTCCTTTAGTTGGCACTGTCAGTGGTTTGGATACCTAGGAATAGCAGAATGGTTCTAAGGACAGGAAATGGCTATCAGGCAGCAGAAGATTGTGTGCTTGTAGCATGTGTGAAGCCCTGAGTGCAATCTCCAGCACTGGGGCGAAATAGGAGTTGATAGAAAGATAGTAAATTTTTAAAGAGTGACTGGTAGGGCTAGAAGATGGCTCAATGGGTAAAGTTGCCTGCTAGCAAGGCTGGCAACCTGAGTTCATTCCCTGGAACCCACAGTGCATGCAGTATACACACACACCACATGCACACCTATTTTAAAATAAGAGGCATGCATTTAGTCATTTGTAATACTGAGAGAGAACACTCAAACACCAGGCCATGAGGAACAAATTGGAATTTCTAAAGAAGGCCTATTGTTTGCCTTTAGGAGATTATAAAATTAAATACCAAGATAAAAATTGTGTATACGGGTATGTATTTAATCAGGGGGAGGGTTCAAACTCTTATTAGATCCAGAAGGGTGTGCATACCCACACAGGGTGTTCACAGACGAAAGAACTCTTCAGTGTAATTGACCTAGTGTCAAAGAAAAAAACAAGTAAACCTCTCTTTATAATAAAATCTCCAGAGAGTAAATTTATCCCTTTAACATGTCATGGTACAAACAGAAAAGTATCACTGGGTACATTTACCTCTTGTCCTAGGGTTTGAAAATTAGCATTGTTTTTAAGTGTGTGAAAATAGTTTAGCCAAGAAACTAACCAAAGGCCCTACTTCCCTCTGTTCCAGCACCTCTCTGCCCCCTCTCCCCAAGGGGCCGGCTGACAGGGTGTGTGACCACGCCCTCAATGCCTGGCCATTGGCTGCCAGCCCGCTTGAGCACTGCTGATCACTGTTCTTCTTTGGACACTGACTTTCCCTGGTTTGGGAACTTTTTGCTTCTTACCTCACCAGCTGCTGTCTAGCCCCTTTCTCAGCCCCTCCCTTTTCCTTCTCTGTGTCAGTGCCCCACGCTTGGTCCCCTAACTACTTTTCTTTTTTGTAGTGAGGCTCTCAGGGGCGTTCATTCATTCCTTCAGTCTCTCTGTGTGGTAGATAATTCTGAGCCTAAAGCTCTTCCTTATGGGTTCAGTTTATCTTGGACTGAGTGCTCTTTTCAGGTGCTCTGGTTGTTCCCTGTTGTCTCATGTTTCCCTCAAAAAAACTGGCAGTTTGACTGATAATGTGTATTGGTGGGAGAGGCTAACACCCAAGACCGAACTGGAGCCCTTGCTGAACTGAACCATAGAGAGTACTCAGCCCTTGACTGCTCTTTCTATCACTAGTTAACTGGTTCCTAGCTCCCAACACTGCCAGGCAAATACTTTCCTGCCTTCATCATCTGAGCAGTCAGTTTACTCTAGCTTGTGGAAGATCCTTGAGAGAAGAGCCAGGCTGCCTGCCCTCTCCCCGACAGCTAGGATCCTGCCCTGGTGTGCTCCCTCAGTCCCTGGTTTGCACTGAGCGTGCACTGCTCTGTTTCAGTTGGGCCATGCTGATGGCACATGACATATCGGTAGCAGGTGAAAGAAAAAAGGCCACATTGCACTAATTTTCCTGCCATCTCTGAACCTTGACACCTCTCCCCTCCCTCCCTGACTGCTCCTGTTCTTTGTGTTAGTTTCCTTCAGAGCCCAACAATTGGCTGCTTTTTCAAGTGGTATGTGGGGCTGGGAGTCAGAGGAGCTAGCAGCATGTGCTAGTTTATAATGAACAATAAAACTGTTTTACATTGGGGAAAAACAGGGTCAGTGTATATTAAGAAAAAATGTTAATTCTTGGAAAGGGAATATATTTAGCTCACAAACATTTGGAAAAGTTTAAGGCAATGGTGAAGTTTAATTTCAGTGATACCTTTAAAAAACACCTTTCATAGAACACATTTTCCCTTTCAGTGCTGGTAATACAGAGTAAAGTGACCATCTCTGTGTAACCTGACTGTGCCCTCTGGAGTATTTCCAGTTCATGGGATCCTAAAAATGTTTATTCCCTTTAATTCCACAATTTAAAAAAAAATTCTTTTACTGCTTCCTTTTTTCCCTTTTTATTTATTTTTTTGTTTATTGCAATTTATTCATTTTGTATCCCAGCTGTAGCTCCCTCTCTCATCCTCTCCCAACCCTTCCCTCCGTCCTCTTTGATTCTATGATTTTGTTCTTGAAATTTTAATCCAAGGGAAGCTTCAGAATGAGAGAGGTGTTTAGGTACAGAGACGTGTGCTTGGTGTTATTTATACTTCTGCTACCAGCAACGGACCACACATGGAAGCAGCCTGCCTGACTGCACAGGCTGTGGTTCTGAGGCCCAGGGAATAGCTTGAATCTGGTAAGAGCATATGAAAAAAGAGAGAGAAATTTAATATCTTAATGTTAAATGTCAAAGGTAAGATAAAACAGTTTATGTAGTGTATTATAAAGCTTACACACAATAAAGATGAGTAGGCCTGTATTCAGCCAGTTGACAAATGGGAATTTTGTTTTCTCTTGTTTTATATTAGCTCTAATGTCTGAGGAGAAATTTTAATTAAGACAACTTAGAAAACAAAAATCTGTCTCTGGGTGATTCTAGATTTAGCAAAGAACAGTGCAATGCTAAAAGTTTCTAGCTTATTATATATTTCATAAAAGTGAAAGACTCGGATAAGGAGAAGTAGGGAGCTGTGCATTGTTAAGTAATACGGTAAATATTCGAGAGCAGGATACAGGGTTTGGATTTTGAGTTCAAATCCATACATCTCCCCACATGTATGACTTGGAGAGGTTCCAGTTTCTTAATTTGCAGAGTGCACAGAGAGCACATGTCACTGACTGGGATGAATGTGCACATAGGGCTGGGCATGTAGGAGGCGCCCTGGTTGCTGCACTGGCACCATCTCATCATCTTCACCAGAGCTCAGCCTGGTTGCTGAGAGATGGCTCAGGGTTAAAGTGCTTGCTATGCAAGCACGAGATCCTGAGTTCTGTTCCCAGAACCCACAGAAAAACTAAGCACAGAGGCACACGTCTGTAACCATGGTGCTGCAGGGTGGTGCTAGAGATGGGCAGATTCCAAGAGTTTGCCAGCCATGCAGTTGAACTGAAACAGCAGTGAGAAATCTTTAAAAAAAAAAAAAAAAAAAAAAAAAAAAAAGCCAGGTGTGGTAATGAATTCCAAAAGTAGGCAGATCTCTGTGAGAGTTCAAGGCCAGCCTGGTCTCTAAGAAGAGACGAGCTCTGGATTCAAGGTCATGACAAAAGAACCCTCTTGAGGAACCGACAGTGGTGGCTCGCCTTCTGTTTCACTTTGAAAATGTGTAATGCAAATAAGGACGTATTACTCAGTGTCTGATGGCAGAGCGGAGCCCTGGCTCTCTTATTTGGTGGCTCCTAGCTCACTATTTCCTTCTGTGCATTTTTAAAGGTCCTTAAAATTCTGGTCAGGGCAGTGGTTAATGGTATGACTGACCGAAGTGGAGACGTCGCCTCCAGCCTCAAAGGCAAGCTGCAAGAGTTGTTTGGCAGAGTAACTTCAAGAGTGACCAGTGATGGAGAAATCTGGAGACTTTATGCCCAAGTTCATGGAAATGGGCAGAGTGAAAAGCCTGATGAGAACGAGAAGGTCAGTGCCGGGCCTCTGTCTTTGCCGCCACAGGGACCGTAGACCTCTGTCAGTGCTGGGCCTCTGTCTTTGCTCCCACAGTAGAGTAGGCCTGCCTTTTTGAGTGAAAGATGAGATCAATCTGAAACATAAAGCTAATATGCATAAATTCAGCATATGTGTGTGTTGTACGCACATGTGCACATGTGTGAGAGAGCAGCCTCAGGTGATATTTCTGAGGTGCTATCCACATTTTTTGGATACTGGCTTAAAATTTATCGAGAGAGCCCAGAGAACCCCAAGAATCCCCTGTCTCTGCCTCCCCAGTGATGGCATTACAAATGCATGCTGCTTTGTCTATCTTTTTTTTTTTTTTTTCTTAAACCACACTATTTTGGGGATTGAACTCAGGTCCTTGAGCTGAGAAAGCAGCTGCTTTGTTGACTGCGCCATCTCCCCAGCCTTCAAATTCAGCCTTAAGTACTTTGAATTATGGGCATGCTAAGACAACATTCGTCATTTTACATCTCTTGAGCTTTTCTGCTGCAGTTGTTCTGTTTCCTGCGGAAGGGTCTCTGTCCTGCTGCCGTACGGGACCTGCAGCCGCCAGATGCTGGAGTCCTTTACCTGTGCCTCTTTGCACAGGCTCTTTGTTAAAAACAAAACAAAGACTGTTGAGATCTGAGATGAGGCTACAAAATGGAACAAATTAACTAAAGAGATGGGAGCAGGAAATGGCAAGGGCTTGACACTTTGCAGGGCGTACCTTGCCTTCTTGAAAGGCAGTGGATGGCCAGTCCCTCTCCATCTGTGCCGCTAGCCTCTGGTCTTCAAGCCCCCAAGAGCCCGGAGTTTCCAAGGTTGGGCTCATTGTTTTGCATTTCTTTTCAAAACATCCACAGCAAATCAAATGCACTCCTTGTGCGGGTTTGGAATTAGGCACGGTACAGTTAATCTCGGGATGCTTAGTTGTTCTCCCTCCAGCATGCACAGCTGGCTCCCACCATGGCCCTGTCAGTTCTCAGAACACATATCTCATGCACACACTCCTACTTTATGTCCTTCCATTTCCTCTTGATTTTGTACTCTTTCCCAAATAAGAGACTGAGACTTCTGAGTCTCAGTCTGAGACTTCTCCATCAAGATTTTTAAAGATGAAACAAAAGAGCATTTTAAACACTGTTAAATTATATACCTGTTAGCCACTTTCTACTTTCCCAAAGATCATGCCTCAGTCTCCTACTGCAGTCTCTCAGCTTGATGGCCGGAGGCAGTCTGCACACTTCTTACAGATTTCCAGGCCTGGCTTTCACAGTTTCCTGGTTCTGGGAAGAGTGGCTGTCCAGATACGGCCTTGGTTTCTTGAAGTTGTTTGTTGCTATTGGATGTGCATCCTAGTCTCTCTTTGAGGTCGTTACAGAGATTCTGCCTCACAATACAGATGCTAAATTTTCAGTTTGGAATTAGTTCCATATGATTTCCAGGAAACAATTTGAAATGTGTATTCTACTTGTTGTTTTGAATGTTGTTCTTTCTTGTTTCCTAGGCATTCCAGTGTCTCTCAAAGGCGTACAAGTGTGACACACAGTCCAGTTGTTGGGAGAAAGATGTTACAGCATTTAAGGAAGTTGTTCAAAGAGCCATAGGACTCGCACATGGTACTTGACATCCATATCCAATTCTAATGCATTCTTCACTGATAAACTAGTGTCAGTCAGAAATCACGTTCTATTGCAGGTACTTCCTGATTACTTCAGTGTATTTCTACTGTCGTATTTCATTCAGAAAGATCTATACAACACTGTGGTGTAATAGATAAAATAGGACAGAGGCTTAAAAACTGCTTGAATAAGTGACAGAGTTACAACCCTTAGAGAGTGAAATAGTTTTACTACCAAAAAACCTTTACTCCCCACAAAGCCTTTCTTGATTATGTTGTATTAAGGAAAATCATTAGCATTTCATTAACTTATAGTCTTAATTTATAAATGGAAGTGCAAAAATAATCAAAATATGCATATCTCTGGAGTATTTAGCATTATATGAAAAGCCATGGCATATAAAAAAATACAGAATATAATCCCTATCTTGGGTAATTTAGAGTCTAATTTGGAGGGGAGATATTCTTACCTATAATAAAATTGTTTGCTTGTTAGATAAATACAGGGCAGGCTTAGGTCACTCTCTCATTATGAAAAAATACCAGTTAAATTCAGCGGTGCATTATTGCATTGACATTTGAATGTGGGTATGAGATACCCTGGAATACAGTTCCAGTGAGTTAATAAAGTCCTGGCAGCAAGAACGGAGTTCCAAGGACTGTGAGCCTCCTAGTTCTCTGCCTAACTGTTACTGCCCCTGCTAGTGACAGCAAGTAGAAGCCAGCAAGGAACAGTGAGAAGGACAGCTTGGGAACCAGGGACACTAAGGCTTCAGGATCACCTTTTCCTCATGCTTGCTGGGTGATGTTGAGTCAATGACTTAATTGCTCTGGGCCTTTGTTTGGTTGTAGGTAAAAATGGAAGAATACCTACCTATGCTGTTGGGAAGAATCTGCAAGAGCATTTCATTACTTAACAATATGTTACAGGTCGTTTAAATACAAACCTCTACCATTCCCACCCGATTTCTTTTGAAGTAGAGGATCTGGTTTGATAAGGAACTGTTTGATAAGGAACTCAAAAGACAAAAGTGAGGGACAGGGATAAAGTTTAAGTGCCTATAAAGAAGTCACAGAACATTCAAGTGGTTCAGAATGGGCTTAGTAGTTAATAATTCTGCCCATGGCCTTTCAGATCTGTGACTGGAAGAATGTAAAATGTCCAGTTTTTGGACCACCTAGAACTGGCAAATAAGGTAGAGGGCTGAACTCTGGGCTGGAAGATAGAAAGTCGGAGGTGATTACAGGAGAAGGCTGTTTTGGAGGTGCTGCAATTCTGTGGCCTGTGCTGGCCAGGTGCGGCTCAGTCCTTTGCTTTGGCCTTTGTGGGTATGGTATTATGTGTTGGGAGCCCCCACTGACGTGTATTATGAGTACATTTAGCAGGGTGGGATTTCCTCTGAAGAATGTCTTCTCCAGTTCAGCTTGCCCTCTGTAAACATCTCTGTGAACAGCCAGCTCTGTGATGGTCAGACCCACATAGTTTCTTTCATCACCAAGTGCTGGCTTTAAGCCTGTCCACCATAACTGTGCAGGTCGGAGAAGTAATCCTCTTCTGGCAACTTTGTACAGGATTTAAGCTGTTGTTGGTACCGTTTCCAGAGGGTGACTCTTGGGGAAGAATGAGTGTCTTTTCTCTGGGGTTTGCCTTCTTGAATGGGTTATGTGTTGCATTCCAGCATCACAAGCATGTTTGAGTGGATGCTTTAAATTTGTGACAGTAACTCTACCTTTGTCTTTGTTGCATTGTACACTGGTACTCCAAGAATGAGCCAGGCTTCTGCTACTCCCTTCCCATTATTCGTCTGTCTTCCCCCAACACTGTTCCTATTGAAAAGGAAATATGGCAGTGTGTAAGTCTTGGTGCCTGATGGATTGCCAAGGGTAAGCATTGCCATGGGCTTCAGCATGATGGAGACACCACGGCAGTCATAGAGTGAGGGGACCCTCCACTGCAGTGCTGCCCGGGGCTGTTTGCAGCTTCAGGAGGACGGCCATGTCCAGTCATTGCGGTTCTCTCTGCCCTCTCTGTCACCCCCACCTCTGTCTCTAAAGCCTTTAGAAGTGAGATTGAGACGGGAGCTAATAGAATGTGTGTCCTCCTTGCTTCTTGTTTTCTTCAAAATGAAAATTATGTTTATTGATTGATTGATTTTTGAGACACGGTCTATGTAGTCTTGGCTGGCCTGGAATTCAGTCACTGTGTAGACCAGGCTGACCTTGAACCCAAAGAGATCCTGGGTTCTGCCTCTGCCTCCTGAGTGCTAGAATTAAAGGCATGCACTACCATGCCTGGCTTAAAAAATGAAGGACATTTTAAAACTAGAAGAGCTACAGGTGTTTCTAGTATAAGCTGCTAGGCAGGAAGCAAACTGTATACCTTTTTTTGTGGTGACAGCAATGCCTCCCTACTGAGAAAGAGAGTCCTCATTATCTGATTGTCTGGGCCTCAGAAAATGGGCTTAACATTGTTAACTAGTGTGCATCCGACATGAGGCTTGTTCACGTCTAATCGTTATTCTGAAATAGAAACATCAAGCCCAGTTCTTGCCATCCACGGATATTAATTACTGACAAAGGTATTTTGCCAGGCTGCAGGCTGTTTCTTCTGATTGCTTAGAGTTTGCAGCTATGGTCTGTGACATTGTAGTTTTAAGATAGGACCTGCTTTTGAATTTAGTGAACATAATTAAAAAATATTGTTCTATGTGTGTGGATGTTTTTCCTCTATGTGCACATTTGTGTGCAGCCTGTAGCGTGTAGAAGAGGGCATCAGATCTCCTGAGGTGAGGTCTAGATGGTGTGAACCACCAGGTGGGTGCTGGTAATTGAGCCCTGATCCTCTGGAAGAGCAGCAAGTACTCTTAACCCCTGAGCCATCTCCAGCTCATTAACTTAATTTTAAAAAACAGTGGAAAGATCCCGGCACCTGTTTGTGCAGAGTTCTTCAGTTGTTCTTACAAGGCATTAACAGGCAGTCCTCCTCCAGGGAGGAGTGTGCTCATTCAGAGTGACCCATCTCAGAGAAACAGGCTCCTCAGCATGCTAGAGGCAGAGTTTCTAGGGATGAGTGATTTCCCTCCTGATGCCAGATGAGCCTGGCCGTGGTTACACTCCTTAAATGAAGACCTGCAGATTGTTGGTGCCAGTTCTTCCAGAATGCTGTAAGATTTGGGTATAAAAATGCAGCAAGCTTTTTAGCGTGGCATATCTGGCATGTCGCTTTGCTGAATCCTCCTTAGAGACTTGGGACAGTGGACAGCCACGTGAGATGTACTGCATCTGTTTTGCTCCTCTATGTGTGCCTCGCTTTCAGTAAGGCTTTGTTTGTTTGCTTGGCTAACTCATTAGTGTGTGAGCACATGTGTGCTTGGGTATGTGCATGCACATATGTGTGTGGGATCCCTGCCTGTGTAACTCACCCAAATGCACCATGTTTTTCAAAATTCTCCTTAGCAGTGTTTTTCTATATGAAGGATGAAGGATAGAGGGAGTGTAGCTCAGTGGTAGACAAGTGCTTGCCTAGTGTGCTTAGGCCTGGGCTTGATTTCCCCATACCACCACCGAGAAAAAGGTGAAGGGAAGAGCCAGAGAAGTGAAGACTTCTCAAGTTATTATTATAAATTCTTAGTAGATAGCTGCTGTTGTATCTGTAGATGATCAGTTCTATAATGCTTTCCCTATGTTTATCTTGCAGTGGCTATAAAATGCAGTGAGAACAAATCCAGTCCTCAGGAAGCTGTACAAGTACTTTCTTCAGCACGGCTTAATTTCCGTGGCTTGTTATCCAAAGCAAAGGTGAGAATGACCTGTGAGTTCATTAAAACTGTGGGATGAAAGGTCATCAGCCTCATGTCACTACTGCTAAAAGAAAAAGAAAAAAAGGTGTGCTTACTAGTTTCCCATGGATCATTCAAAACTGGGGAGAATTGCCTCATGTGACTTTAGAAGCATCTTTTGATTGTGATGGGGACGGTGTCTCTGGTTTTATATCAGAAAATATGCTTTTTGTAGTTTTGAATTGGGTTTGGCAAACTGAATTGCCTTTTACAAAGTGAAGGTAGTAGAGATTATCGTTAAAGCTTGTAGCAGGCTTGGTTTGCACAGCTCTTTCTTCTGTTGCCTGCTTGGAGACTTCAGGAAATCATCTACTGGAGCCAGCCCTTCCTCCCACCCCCAGTTAAACAAACAACTGTCTTATCAATACTAGCACATGCACAGAAACTGTAAAGTTGTAGTCAGTTTAAAGAGACCTGTGAGAAGTCACAGGCCATTTAGACCATGTCCTGTCAGGTCAGAGCAACTCCTCTGTCCTCAGCACCTGGCCACTGCCAAGAATGGCATGAAGGCTGTGGGTGGAGCCCAGGGAGCTGTGAGTCAGGAGCCTAGGAGGAGGAGGAGTTTTGATTCCCAGCAGATTATTCATTCTTTCTAAGCCTCAGTTTCTCTCTGCTCCTTCCTCACTGAGAAGGAATGTAGATCCATGATGATTTTGTAAGTACTATGATTTCAGGTTTGGAAAGATGCTGTGGGTGTTCAGGTTCTTTGCCTACAAGATGTTTTTTTCTACTCAACACACTGCAGCAATGTTTATGTTAGTCTGTTAGGATGTATTATTCAACAGTACAAATCTATTCAAGATGTATAAAATATGTATAGCAAGCCAAATAAATTATATGTCACAGTGAGACACATGCCTGTTAGATGCAAATGTATGCAAACCTACCTTTCCTCTCTGCCTGTGTATGGTCATAAAATCCTGAAGCTGATTTTCTTGTTTGCATTTCCTGACTCACTAGGCTTCCATAGTAAATAGCATTTTGTTTGGATGAATGATGCTCATTCATCTGAATACTATTATATAACATTGACAAGTGCAGTCAACATTTAAGGCAGTTGCTATAAAGGATAAATGAGGGGTTTGAACCTAAGGCCTTGGCCACTCTAGGCAAGTGCTCTACTGCTGTGCTATAGTCAGCTCTTGAATCTGTAAGTTCAGGAACACTATTTGGGTTTGTTACTTAATTATTAGGCTTGTGTTTTTCTGGGGTCTAAGCAAACGCTGCATTGCTGCTGCGCTGTTACAGTCACATCATGCAAAGGGCACTGGGATTCTATTCTGCTATATTGATTCAGTACTGAATCTATATTGCTTGGAAGGAATTTTCATCTTTTGATGGTCATACTGTTTTTACATTGCAGCAAAATTTTATAGATGTGGCAAGTGGAGAAGTCTCTGGAGAACTAGCCAATGAAATAGCAGCTATGAATGCTCTGGAGGCAGAGCTGCAAGACCTAAGCAACCAGCTTCGAAACCGGTACTGACTGTGACAGAAGCAGTTTGTGGCAAAGGCACTTTTGCCTTCTCGAATTCTTCCAGTACCCATGTATCTGAAACACAGGATACTGATTTTTAAAATAAAATTATTTGCTGGCAAACATACTTATTTTGTGATGCTTTTGGATGCTTTCACTTCTGAAGTTCATTAAACAGGATGGTGGTTTGTACCTTTGTCTAGTTATTGGTAAGTTCAGTTGCGTTCTCTAGGCATTCCAGCACAAGGAGGCCAGCACAGGGTTCCTCAAGCAGCCTAGCATGAGCACATCATTCTTTGGAAAAACTTAGTATAAACGGGGGAGCTCAGATACTACAAGCTTGTGGAATCATTAGCCTGGCTACATTACTGTCCAAAAATGATAAAAGAGTGGACTTGGCAATGGAAACATTTACACTTGTTGAGACTTTGTGTTTGTGTCATAGACACAGGCTTGGCTGAGGTGGAAGTGTGAGTGTGGTTTAACTTCAAAATCAAGAGAGCGCAAGCAGAGAAATGATATACCCAAATTACCACTCCACCATCAGCCACTAGGATCCAGGCTCTTAGCTCTTCGTGGCATATAATGTCAGCTGCCCCATAGCAAAAATGCCAGAGTGAAATGCTTTTTTAGCCATGTTAGTGGAAACAAATACTGAAGGCGGCAGCTGAGCTTAATAATCTCTCTATAAAAGTCAAAGTGAGGAATTCTTAGATTCTGGCTTGAGTTGCTCAATTTTGGGTCCCATGCATAAATCACTTGTCCCTTGTATTTTTCCATGTTTTTATTTATATGATGTGAATAATTTCCACTCCTAGTTTCTTTCTGGTTTCGGCTGCCTTTGGAATCTAACATTTTATGATCCCTCTTCATAAAGTAGTCCCAACACCTTAAGAAATTTCTTTCATAAATGGATTTTGCTTATGAATGCTTACCAATTCCAAACATCCCTTAACTATCTGCTTCTCTTTTCTATAGTCATACTAGCCTTAAAGAGCGGGGTGGGGGGAAAGTATGTCCCAAAGTTTCTCCTGTAAAAGACAGTATTAGTGAAAAACTGCAATAAAATGAGGTGGGAACAGGAGCTATGATTTAGGGTCTATTTAGATCTTTTAGGGAAGCCATTGAGGAGTAGGGTGGGTGGGTGAAGAGTGGGCACACAGGTAGTGAATGGTTGATTTTGGGTGCCAGTGGATGGATTGAGAAAGTTTTAACTGAACACTTCGTCAGCACCCAGCTGGGAACCCTAGTGGGTAAAAGAGAAACAGGAAGAAAAGAAATAGCCCAGAAGGACAAGGGTTTCTGAAATCAAGTGAAAGAACCAATCTGTTAATTTAGTCTCCTTTTACTTCAGGGTGGGATGGCTGATGGGTTGGAGTAGTCTCAAGCCACATTGCCAAGCAGTCATCTCCTTTCTGGCATCTTCTCCAGAGCTGTGCTGGGTCAGTCTCTCTTTTGTCAATGGGGTGTTTGCTCAAAAGAGAACTGTTGACGTCTTCCTTTAGAGGTCTAGACCAAGAACAAAAAAGGTGTGGCATGGTGGCACAGTCTCTCCTAGCTTCAGCTTTTGCAGTGAGGACCACTCACCTGAGTCATTGCTGTCATCTTATGTGCTCTGTGGGCATCTGTCTTGGCTAAATACTCTTATTTCCACATGGCTTAATTTTTGTAGTTTTAACTTTGGTTTTCTAGTATTGATGCCTTTTTTTTTTTTCCTCCATAATCTTTCTTTCCCTTTGTCAACTTCAAGGAGAGAAAAAATGCAATCCCAAAGTGTGGATAACAGCTGCAGCACTAAGTCACCAAATTCTTATGATTCACCAGCCATCACCTCTCACTCTGAGTCCTGTCAAGTCAGTTCGTGATTTTTCTAGGATTTGCAGGGTGGTAAACTCTGGAGAGAGAAATAGATTCCAAAGCCTGAATTTTCCCTGCTGCTTGTACTGGATCTACAAAAAATCAGTTGTTTTATTTTCTCTATTGAACAATGAGACACCTTGACAGTTTGCCTTTCTGTTTGTTTGTTTTGAGACAAGGTTTCTCTGTGTAGCCTTGGCTGTCCTGGACTTGCTTTGTAGATCAGTTTGCCTTTCTTTACTCAGAGTTCCCCAAGAAATTCTTTGAGGCTTTGAAAATAGCCTATGATTTGTTCAGATTATTTATTAATAAATTCCTTGTCAGCCTTTTCCCAGAGGATACATGTTTAACCAGGTTCCTAAGTGCAGAGGAGTGAAAATGAACTCCGATGAGTAAGGATCCCTTTTCGGTACCCAGAGCCAAACCTCAGGGTGCTTAGAGAGCTGCTGCTGAGTCTGGTTGAGGAAGTGTGTGGAGGGCTCAGAGCCCATTTAAGGCTGAAACCCGTGGCCCTAAGTGAAGCCTCACCATGATGGCGAGATCCCCAGACGTTGAGGGAAATGGCCCATTTTCTCGTGTACCCAGACCAGCTTTCCATGCTGCCTTTTGTGCTCTTAGTGCTCCTCATTCACAGACGTGAGAGGCAAGTGAGCATGTGCGGCAGTCCACCTCCCCTCCAGACCTCGTCCAAGGATTATGACGTAGTCACCTGTCTAGCTAGCTGGGGCTACTCAGGACCATTTAGCCAGTTTATAAAACTAGTTCTAGTCTCACCAGTTTAAAGCTGTAGTCAAACCTGATGAAAAGGGTTTGATTTTCTTTCCCAATCTGCTTCGGTAACATCCGTGTCGATCTAAATTGCTGTTTAGATAAGGCAACTCTACTCTACTGGCCAAGAGTGAGGAATAAAATCTGCTAGGTGGATGCCACACACTTCGTCTCTGCCTGCTCATTCAGCAGGCTCTAAAGTGAGATGGCAAAGAGCCTCTACTCTGAGGGAGGGTGCCGTGCCGCAGAAAGACGGCCGGATTTCACACAACACGCAGAAGCGCTTATAAATAGATGGATTTCAATCAACATGTAGCTTATTCAGGCGTGCTCTCAAATATAGTAGCCGCATTCATTAGACAGACATTTCCACTAATCCCAAGACTATGCTAATAAAAGCGTAATCCCTGCGGGCTGACGGTAGCCTTTCACTTGGTCTTTCACAGCCAACGCCTAATAATAATCATGGCTGCGCCTGCTCTTCACCGAGTGAACTTAAAAGCTGAGCTGATCTTGAAATGTTTCCTTTGTCTTTTCAGTGGGCAGTCCTTTAGATGTATGACTTGCAGCAAAGGCCACTTAAAACCTGTTCTGTGTGGTTGTGTGTGCATTCTTGTCACTCGGGTGTGATTCACTTTCTTCACCCCCTGATTGGCAGTGTTGGTTCCCAGAGTGTTTTATTTTTTCCTTTGACCTTAGGATAAACAACAAGTTAATCCATTCTGTGACTCCTTTTGTGGTATGGTTCTTGACTTTCTATGGGCAGTTTTTGCTCCTGCTTTGGGCTTGGCTTTGTCCAGCGAGCACTGTCCTCCTCCCACGTTATTCAGCGCTAGCTGTAATTAGTTCGCTTAACACAACACCAAAAAATTTTCCCTTGCCAGTGATGTCAGATCTGCCTTCCTTTTTATTATTCTGACTTATAAACTGCAGTGACCCGTGAGTCACCCTCACCATCTCCTGGCCCCGTGCCCACATTGTGATCTATGAAAAGGGAGCCCTGCCAAGGGCTACAAGGCGGAAAACTGATATTATTAAATGGTCTTCTGAGCAGTAACTCTCAGCCATTTTTTAATCTTTTGTGATGTTATTGCCAGAACGGGGGTGGGGAGGGCAGATCACAGCAAAGCGAAGGAGCTAACCCACGCATGGCTAACTTTTTCCAGACCGAGGGCTCAAATGAGTATCAGTGTCTATAGACATTATTCCACAGTGCTGCTTACGCACTGACATGTGCTTTCTGAGGACACTGGTTACCACAAGGCTCAGAGACTGACGACCTCTCAGGCCTGTGCTTTTATCCATAGCTGTGTAATCAGTCAAGAAGATGCATCCGGGCTTTGGAAGTGAGAAGCTGCAGTAGAAAAACTGCAAGTAAGAAACCGTTTGATGGTGAGCGCTGGCATAGCCCTTGCTGTTCCCTGCTAGGGATCCCCATGGCGTCTAGTGCTGCTGGGCCCTGGCACAGTGCTGCCGGTCTCCCAGCTTCCTTCCCCTGTTCCTGGGCTGAAGCCGAGGAGAAGGGAAGGGCAGTAGAGCACAGTGGATTTGTATTAGGCAAAGGAGGAAGGAAACCCAGTTAGAAGAGTAAAGGGAAGAGGTGGTAGGGATGGATGACGAGAAGGGAGAAGAGAGGCTGGGGAGGAGGTCAGGAGTAGGGAGGCTTCAGACAAGAGTGGAGAAGTGGGCGTGGATGGTCAACGCATGGTGTTGTGCATGTGTGGGTGGGGGCAGTGCCATGGAAGTACAGCTAATGTGTTACAGGTCTTCAAAGGTAAGGTAGGCAGTTGGCTAGCCGGCCTTATTGTTTCCTAGATGTGACCACATCCGAGCCCCTGGACCTCCCTGAGCCTCAGTTTCCTCAGCTATGAAATCCCCCCCGTTTGGAGGCCAGACAGAGTTATCAGATGACCTAAGTGAAGTTTTCCGTGAGCAATGAAACAGCTGCTGGTACGCTCAAGAGAAAGGTCATTGTTGATGGCCTGTTGGTTCTCAGGGGCCGCGAAGCCCCTGGATGGCTCCAGTTTCTGTAATCCCTGCTGTGCGGTGGCTGGGGGAAACGGTGGGGGTGGTCCATAGCCCAGCATTTTGAGAGACAGTGGTGCAGAATATCTCAGTTGAAAGCTGTGTGCCTTCAACTCTATTTACTGAACCCATCGGCCTCTAGGAGGTCTGGTGCCAGGGCTGATAAAGCCATCCAAGAGTTCTGCAGCTGCCTGGACAGACACAGGCTTATTCGACAGCAGTGACCCCCTCCTCCTCTTCCTCTCTCCCTCCCTTTCTCCTCCCCATCTCTCAGTCCCTCCCACTCTTCCCGGAACCCTTTCCCCTAACAAGGCCCCCTTGTGTCTTTGTTTTGGTTGTTGTAATGACCCACTGAGTTTAATTAGGGTTGCTTGCAGGCACATGGGTGTGAGGTTATTTACTGAATCATGGATAACAGACCAGTGGCTGTGCCACTGAAGAAAATGACTCCCTGTCTGTCACCCAGCAGCCATTAAC